CACACACACACACACACACACACACACACACACACACACTAACAGGGTCGTTGCAATATGCGCTTTTGCTGCCTGTTGCAGCGCTCTAGCGCTGCACGGCAAAAACACATAATAAATGGCTGAACGACCAGTCCTTGTGCACTGATTGAACATGTGCGTCGGAAAGCAAACAGACTATGCAAAAATATAATTTATTTGTTTAATAACTGCTGTTTTGATAAACTAAAAATTACTCTTTGTGCTTACTGCACTGACCGAATACTTAAGAGAAACGACGTACGATGGGGATGGCGAAAAGGCCAGGGAGCGTGGGCAGACGCGGAGGAAGAGAAGCGTCTCACTCTTATTACGACTGACTGTTTATGCAGGTAACATAGGTGGGTGCGTTTGCACACACAAACTGCCATAATATTATATCACACTAATGCTTTATCTCATCTGGTGACCACTTAATTAGCAAGGACTCGAGATCTGGTGATACTTTCACTCTAGAACTACTGCAGTCTGAACTTGGGTGTACAACTCCTAACTCATGATAAGGACTAATAGTTACAACGTATCTCCCTTGATCATGTTACTGCTGAAAATGACATAACACAATTGCGGATGTACTAACAGACACAATCTGCAGTCGTAGTAACGCCCTGAATTCTGTTCTGAGATTAGAGGCCGAAACTCCACTTTCAACTTCGAGTTATTGTATTTTTGCCGACATGCAAATGGACCTCTAAAATTTTGAGCTTGTAGCTTTTTTCATCATCAGGTGATGAAATTAACTTGGATTCGAGGTCAGGGTTCAGAGGAACCTACAAACTGATTGTAGGTTTATAGCCTTGAATATATTTGAAACGTCGCTCCCGAAATTCCAGCTTCCTGGTTCAAGTCTTCAACCGAAATATCTGGACACAAAGCAAAGCAGTTCCTCACGAACAGAGGGGATAAACCACCTCGAACTGTGGTATACTTGGATATATTTGCCGCTAACTTGGACAAGAGATTGGTGACGAGATGTCAAATTAAGGAATGGAATTGGGCTAAGCAGAGTTGATGCCAAATTTACGAGGAACATACAGTTGTAAGAATTCAGTGTGCCCGTCAAATGCCGCTTGCCGCAGGCTTTAAAAAAAATCTAAATAGGTGTTGCGAGTATACTCGATCTCATTCGACCACTGCAGCGGCTGATTGGAAATTTGCATCTGCACTGTAAA